TCATCGTGCGCGGTGGATATGTTTACAATTCGCAATTGAAAAGGGCGACGTAGCCTGTGCGCAGCCGCCCATTTTTCTCAGAACGACGCGTTTAAGAAAGTTAATTTTCCTTGACTGTGGTACTGATTGATGAACTAAGCACCAAGAGGATTCATATTGAAGAAAGATTATTAGAAAACTATTTGCCTACGGAGTCAATGATTTACCACACCTTGTTGTTTTGATCATATTCGAAACGATGAATGTCCTAATGAAAGTAGACGCATCATGCTGCTTATTGCTTCTGTTTTATCTGGTTCCTCGCAGAAAAGTATGCATTGGAGAACTCTTCAGTAGTTTATCGTGTGCCGCTTGGATAATTTTAGTATCCTTTATCTTTGAAAGCTAGGACATGTGGTAATTGATTTCCTATGCGATACGTATATTTGTTCTTATACTTCTTTTTATACATGTTCTTTTAAAGGTTTTAATTTCCATGGTTTTTTATAAGATGAGTCGAAGCGTCGTAGCTGAAATGTCATCTTGACTATCATCAATTTACTTCTGTAAATACTTATTTCACGCTGGGTCCGGCCCAGGGTTTATAATATTTCGGATCATTGTTTTGTGGCCATACTTGTAGGATTTTGAATTATTAACGAGCGATTGTCAGAGATTTCTGAATCAGTCGAGATGTTTCTGTCCAATCGATTCGCCACCCTTTGTTAGCGCTGGTTAAATTGAAATAAATCGCGGGTATGAGCGCGATGTCATTGAGCTATATTATTTTCCTTTCGCTGTAGCGATTGGGCCCACGTCACATACATAGCTTAAGAAGCCGTTGCTTCACAAGGAAGTCAGCATTCAACGTCGCAGGAAACCTTGTTAGGAGGTGTTAACATGAGAAAACCCGCACCGGCACGAGTTTTATACAGGGATGACGTTTTGATTTCGTATCGCTTTCACATGATGACTGCGTCATTTTGTATCTCGTTGTTTGAAGGTACACTTTATGTTGATAAAATGCGCGTGTGATTTAAAATAACAAATATTACGCATGCGCTAGCCGTTCCAGTCTACTCGCAAACCGATTTCACACCGAAACGGTTGGTCATTTGACGTTTACATGATACCGCTGTGAGATTTCGTACCGGAGTGAAATTCTCGCCCCGGTACAACAAACGCGGTGAACTCACCCCCGGGTGATTCGCCCAGGCATGATATTTTGTGGTGGTATCATGTAAACAAATATAGAGCCATGAGAGGGAAGCGGAGTGAACTCGCGCCGAAGCAAAAGTCGCCCCGGTATCATGTAAACACTCCCTTATAGTCGTGAAATTCAAAGCGTATTTCGTAACTCTCGCCAAAATCCAATAGCGAGGTCCCGAGGAGTCACTCGAGCTGCATTCTATCCGTTGATCTGATTAGCCAACATGAAAACAAAACGTTTTACATCACAGAAATCGTTTTGGCGCTCGGGTTCGCAGACGTTATTTTTTCGGAGGGAGAGAAGCGACGACCGGAAACACGTCTGCGGTTCGCAGGCTAAGGAAAAGTAGGAAGGAGGAACAAACACTAACAGAAAGATTATTTAATTATAACCAGAAACATAACCCATTGATTCGTAACTTAGCAATTTTTATATGCAGGCCAGTCAGTTAAAAGCGTTTTTTCAGTAAAAACAATTAACGAGTAGATATATAGATAAATCTAAAAAGTTGAAGTTGAAGTAAATAAGTAGAAAAGCTGCGGAGTGCCCCTGAGTCTCAAAATTGTGTCATGATAGTGCTGCCTAAATTCTCTAAAATCGCCAATTGCCCTTAAATTATCGGTGAGGCAGTTCCAATATTTTTCAGCTGAGTGAGTAAACGAGAGTACGCCATATGTTGTGGTTTAGGGTTCAAGATGTAAAAGAGCAATACCTCCTCAAAAGAGATAAGTAGAGGACCTAATTGTAAAAAATAAAAAATAAAAACCAAAGGCAAAAAATGCCACTGTCCAGGGCAAATAAATAAAGAAATAACCAATACCAACAAATAAATTATTAACTACCAAAGACGCGGCGTACCAAATCAGTGTGTTGCCGTAGCTATTAACGTTTAGAGTTGCCAAAGTACCATAATTCAAAATGGTTCTATTGTTATTATTTTTTGTTTTCTCTGTTAATTAGCGCTGTTCGCTTGATTGCAACTGCGAAAGGGCCATTTCCGAGTTCCAAAAACTCTCTCTTTCAAAACGAGGCTGAGTGCAAAACATTTGTTACTGAAAACGAGTTTCAAATGCATGAGAATGAAAAATAATTTTCATATGAATGGCTTCGCACTTCGCCTCGCTTTGAAACAGAGGCTTGAGGCAACTCGAAAATCGTCAATTCGAAATAAATTTTACTTTGAAATGAGGCAGTGATGGCCAATTGTAATTGCAATTCTTCTGTCCAAGGGGTAATAGTAACATCGGAGACACGAGCTCGGTTTAATGGTGCGTGACAAGTGCATTAAAACTACGAATTGTCAGCCAACTTACGCTTGTCGTCTTTGAAATTAAATACAAATTCGCCGTCAAGACAACCTTGTCGCGGACGGAGGCGTATACCGAATACTACTAAAGGCGAAAAATATTAACCTTGAGATGCTTCAGCAGAAAAAATTAGCAACCGAATGATCTGGATTCACAGTACGTGTGTGCAACTAGCACAAGAATGTCAAATTCTTGCTTTGAACCAGGTTATTCATGAAGTTATTTTTGTTTTTGTTGTTGTTGCTTTTTTCCTTTAGTGCAAATTAGTATACAGGAAGAATACACAGGAGCGTAATTCTCAAAATCAAAATCTCTTATTGCACGGTTAAATTTGCAGTATCATGGTGGGATCTTTAGCCGCACTGTATTCATTCTCGGCGAGCCAGTAGGGGGAGCTATTCAGGAGAGTCGAGTGATATCGGACGATACTACGGACTAAACCGGCTTCAATAAGAGAATAATTATCCAATTATTCAATTTCGATGAGTAAATAGAATGAAGTGTGCATGTTCAAGATAACGAGCACGATGCAAACTAACGTGGCTCATGTGCAAGTTCAGTTTTAGCGCGTTTCAGTGATGCATCGTTGTTGTTGATCGGTCAGAAATGAAAGCTTGTCAAACTGGTTCACTGAGTAAATCGAGTTGTTCGGATTTTTCGCCAGCTCTTTGAGGCTCTATCTCTTGTTATCTTTCAAATATTTACGAGGAAAACAGATATGGAATAAGGAATTGCCAATTCAGGTGAAGTTTAAGGAAGCTTATGATGGCCTTCCGAATTTCATGTAAACCTCCCAATAGAATTAAACCAAACTGAAAAAAATTGCATTAGAAGGAAAATTCTCTCGCAAGGTCAAGGAGTTCGAAAGAGCAACTTTTCAACAACGGTTCAAAAACGGACTTCGTAATTCACCCTCAGTTCGTCGGGATTCAATAACAACACGTCCTTAGAGTCTCCTGTTCCCAGTTATATGGTTTATATTAACGAGTTTCTATTATATAAACAACAGAGTTGGACATAATGCTAGACCAGAATGCCCTAAAGAGTCTTACTTGTAGACTTTGGTGTCAAGTCTGTTGGAGGTTGGGCTGTTGGTTGTGGAAAGACTGGAACAGGAACATGAGGATTTTGAGCTAGCGGATCCTCCTTTGTACCATGTAAATACAGCGTCCAGTCGAAAAGCGTTCCTTAACATGAAACGAAAAGAGGTTGAAAATGTTTAGACATACAGAAATAGATGACACTGTTATTTTTCATTCACAATTATTCAATTCCACTTCGGTGAATAATTGAATCAACCAGCGAAGTGGTGGTGGCAAGAATACGCAAAACATTTTGCTTGATGGATTTTATCTACTTTTTGTTTTTTTAACCTAGCTGAAACTGTGCCGATAAATAGGCCAAAGGTTTGAAGAAAAAGTACGAGGAGGTAATTTTGTTACATTGAACTTAATTATTAACTTAATTTTTTAACAATTATAATAATAATAACGGTTTATTAGCATTTCATAAAAATGGCTCTTCTTCTTCTTCTCTTGAAACATCGCGCGATACTATTTTAGAACGTGCGTGAGTGTTTTGAATGAGGCTGAGTATCATCTGAAGAATTATGGAGATCGGGGAGGGTGTTATCCGTCGAGGCCGATTAGGCCGTGACGGATAACACCCTCCGAGAGTTTTATCATTCATTCAAAATCATTCCCAGTTCAAAAACAAGCTAAAACATACCTCCATCGATGTTAAGTTCATCTTCAAATGCCTATTTATCAGTAAGTTTAGTAGATAAAGGGTTGTTCAGTACTGCAAATATTTTTCAAATAGCAGATGTCGTCCGTCGAGTTGTCTTCTTGCTGTTTTCTAGCCAATAGTTCGCCTATTTCTTCCTCGTGAAACGAGTGAAATGTTCCACCATTTTGTTCTCACTACAAAAACAATTCAACCGCGTCCCCAGGTCTTCTCGGTTAACTGTTCAATTTTCCTGACAATTGTGCTGCAAAAAGACGTCATTTCTCACATGTCACGAAATTTTTCAAAATTTGGTCGTCAGTACCTGGTTGTGTTGAATTGTGCGTGGGATTTTAGCCAATCAGAAAGGGAGAAATATTTTGAATGAATAATACTACACAATTTTTGAATTCGGCTTTCGTGTGATGTGAAGAATTATGCAGATCTTGGAGGCTGTTATCGGCCTCAGTGGATTCTTCACATCAAACGAAAGCCGAATTCAATAATTGTTGATTGTTACAAATTAATAACCAACCTGTACTATTACGATGTGGTCGCGAGTTTTCCAGCGTTAATTTCCATTTTCCTACCGCAGTTTCCCCCCAGTGGTGCAACGTCATAAAGACAAAATCAAAGTCCGTGTTTTTAAAGTGACTGTCGGTGGTCCTATAATGCGTGAGACTGGAAACCGTCCCTTGAGGTGAACACTCAAAATAATTGTCCAGGGGTGCGGCACATATTCAGTTTAAATGTATCTGGAGTTGTACAAGGTTCATCAACTAAAAGAGCGGTTTCGTAAATGACAAGGTCCATGATAGATCGATGGTGTCTTCAAAAGATTCGTTAAACATTATCGGACTGAAAGGCGAATAAATAGAGGAAGAAAGAAAGAGAAAAGAAGGGTAAATTAAAGATAAAATTATGACGATGCTAATAATTCTGAAAGTAAATGTATCAGAATTTGATACATTAAAATTGCGAAAGAAAGATTTAGCAGAAAGAATAAATGAAAAGAAAGAAGGGAAAAAGATCATCACAGTTAAGTACGAAACTTAAGCGGTTGCGAAAAAGAAACTTGAAAAAAAGTTCAGGCTTAAGAACGGAATCCGATTCAATGACCTCTGTGATAATCTCAGTTGCGACTAAGGTATGAAACTAAACTAAATGGGAGCTGGTCACTTTGTGAGTTCGTATAATATACGTACCCGTAGAAGACTAAGATATGAAGGTGAATATATGAATTTCAAGAGAAAGATTAGTACCCGTAAAAAATTAATGCTCAAGGCTGTGTCTCTTTGACTTGTGCATTCTGCAGTTTTTGTAGACCTCAAAAGGTGCACATGCATTTATGTTCAGACAGAAAATGGAAAATCAATCAGTCTGTTTGGTTTACAATACAGCATATTAAACGTTTGATCACTGAACACAAGGTAGAAATCGGCTTGCACATTCGCTTCCGGCACAGTGTTCTATAAGTTTACCTCTTTCTGGGCCAGTGAAAAACATGCACCTATGTATTTAGCACAAAGGTACTAATTGAGGACACTATTTTTATGTCCCCTTCTGGGAACGGGACCGCCACTTTACGAGGTCATCCGAGCCACGTGAAGGTCTAGCCGTTTGCAGGGCAAAGGCAGTACCTCCATTTCTAAGTTGTCTTAAGGTGGCTCGATACAGTTTTTCAGGTTCAATACCTTCCAAGTTTGAACAGAAACTATGTCACCATAAACAAAGATTTGGAAAAATTGCCACCACAGTTGCATTAAATAAAAGATGAAAATTTATGATCAGGGTTGCAACGATATCGGAGTTGACCTAGCAACGAAATGATGCTATCACCAATTTTTTGTCATTGCAACCCTGATCATAACAAATTTTCATCTTTATCTAATACAACTCTGGTGGCAGTTGTTCCAAATTTTTGTTTATGGTGACGTAGTTTATGCTCAAACTTGGGAGGTATTGAACCTGAAAAACTGTATCGAGCCACCTTTTGACCCTGATCATGGGTAATGGTTTGGCCCCGGGAATCCAAACCTCCTCCCGCTCAACAGTCAAGCGCCCTAACGACTGAGCTAGTCCCGCTGCGGTTAAAATGATAATAATAAAAAAAATTCGCAATATAGCTTGAGGATCCAAACACAAACATATTATGCAGGTACAATTATTCTACTCTTACGAGCAATAGCTCTCAATAAATATGGGCGAGTATACACTAAGTTATTGACAAAACGTTTGTAATAAGAACCCACACTGTTTTATGGTCAATTTTAAATAGGTCAAAATGCTGGCATAAATGATAATCGTAATTGCACCTACTTCTAGGGGGAGTGGATAATTACGAAGCATGAAAAAGAGTCAGGTTCTAAGTACGCTACCTATTTCCACGGGGATCTGGAATGGTGCAGTTAACATTTGCAGGAACAGTCGTCCACTTCAGTGCTGCATCGACCATCTTAGTGGCATCCATAAAGCCAAATCCAACATAATCATTAACTGAGGAAAGATACAACAACAAATGTAACGAAAGAAAAAAGGGAAGTATTATTGTTTAGGATCAAATAACAGCATAATTCTAAACTTTCCAACATAAAAGTCTTTTACTACGCTGGATAACCGATCATTCTCTGTGGCTGCCCCTAAATTATAATGGAATAATCTTCCCTTTACATTAGAAATACTATTGTCGGCTAATACCCGTACGTTTTACAGATTCTTTTCATACACATTTGTTCCAGAAGGCGTTTGCTAGCCTATTTTCATTAATCATTAATAATAATTGATTAATATTTAGGGGGGTTTCAAAATGTCATTACAGTGAAACCCCGCCTTACGACCACCTCGGTAATACGGTCACCTCGTTATTACAGTGTGCAGCAAATTTTTTGGCCTGGCAAAACGGTCACACATTTTCCTATAAAAAAGAACCCCTCGTTTTTGCGTTAACCAGTTAATACGACCAACGTCCACATTTTTAAATCCCAAACGGTGGAATCCCTTCTAATTTCAACCCGTTGATACGGCCATGCCATTAAAATATAGAAAATTAAAATACCTGTGATATGTCAATTTCACTGACCTAGCTGAGCATGTTCTTGTATTGTTTTAGACCACAGTACACTCAAAATCCATTTGTTGCTAGCTGATTTTTTTAATTTTATGTACTAAAGAAAAGTTTCAAGTACAGTTGACTCCCGATAACTCAAACCCTCGCTAATTCGAACCAACCCCTGGATTTCCGTCATACGTTTACTGTAATTTTACCCTCAGTAACTCGAACCCTTGATAACTCGAACCTTCCGCTAACTCGACGTAGTTTTTGTTTCCCCTCAGATCATTTCTATATAATTTTACCCTCGATAACTCGAACCGTGTTTTGAACCCTTAAAAGTCGGGAAAAAACAGTCTACTTGCGTCGAAACATTGAATTTTCAATTTCCCATTGATGTCTTGTAGGTATATAGTTTACTAGTGGAGGCTGTGTTGTTTGTCGCAAATCTAACTAACTTCTCAAAACAGTAAAATGCATGCTCTAGTATAAGCAAGGTTTTGTTATGTTACGTTCTGATTTATAAACTGGAAGTATCTTTTAATTTTCACTTGACGTTTCTACAATTAAATATGATTAAAATGTTCACTATTCAGTAAAAACTGTCTCTTTCCTTACTCCCGGCTATTTTTGAACCTTTTTCCATTTCCCTTGACGGTTCGAGTTATCGGGAGTTGACTGTAGTTTTTGCAATTACAGTACGCGATATCTCCATTCCGGTAGTTCATTAAAGTGAACAGTTGTTCAAGAAGTGCGAATGCGATGTATGGTGCATGTGCTATTCCGCCCGGCGTAAGTCATTAAATTTGACCCTGTCCCGGGTAATAGGGCCACCCAGTTAGTACGGCCAAATTTTTATGACCCATTGGTGACCGTATTAAAGGGATTCCACTGTACTGATTTCTATCTAGAATTCTAGGAAGGAAGTTTAGGATTTCGAATTAAAACTAGAGCTTAAAGTTTTCATTATTTGTTAAACATTATAACGCACAGTTAAAATGGTCTTTAGTTGAATATAAGCTAATGTATATATTATCGTCATTATTATATTAATATTATAATTATATACTCCTTCTGCTGTCATCACCGCTGTTATCAGTTTCATTACCGTACAGATACGTTTATTTTACTGAATCGACATTCGTTTTTGTATTTTCAAAAAAATTAAACAAGTCATAAAGCATTTTTGAACAAAAACAGAAGCAGTAGCAATTCGATGAAAATGCATTTTGTAGTACTAATATAAAAACATTCACGCTGTTATAAAGATCAGGAGGAATAAACTAACCACTCAAATTAGCCTTATTAACGGTCCATGAGCTTTTACTGATTGCAACAGGATCTTGCCTTGCAGTCCACGCAATGATGTGCTGTACGTCTCACCAGGAAAGGACTGAGCTAACAAAAGGAAAGAAAAGAAGCACTTTTAACATAAACGAATCAATCTATCAATAAATCTTTTTACAGACAGACAGACAGACATACAGCGACCGGTTTCAAACAACTTCAAGAAAAAGCTTTACACGAGCTTCTTGCATTACCCCGTCTTTGATATAGTGATAGTGATATTTTGTGGGCGTTTTTAATAAACTAATTTTTCCACTCGCGCTTGTGACATGATTATAACCAACTCGACGCTTCGCGCCTAATTGGCTGTCTATCATCTCATTTCCAACGTGCGCGCTCGTGGGATAACTACTAATTATTCTTTTACAATATTTCTCCGTTTCTGATTGGCTAAAATCATACGCATAATTCACCATAACCAGCTACTGTTGACCAAATTTGAAAGGATTTTGCCATATTGAACTGATGACGTCAAAAGTGCAGCAAAGTTGGAGATTATTGAACCGTTAACCCGGAAGACCTGGGGACGAGGTTGTGTTACTTTGGCAGCCATATCAAACTGGCAGAACGTTTTACTCGTATTACCAGGAAGACATAGGCCAACTATTGGCTAAAAACCTAGCAGAACTGCAAGAAGACAACTCGAAGGACGACGTCTGCTATTTGGAGAATATTTGCGGAGCTGAACAACCCTTTATCTCCTAAACTTGCCGTTTAACGTGCACTATCGAAGACGAACTTAACATCGATGGAGATAAGCATGTTTTAGCATGTTTTTTTAACTAGGAATTATTCTGAATGAATAATAAAACAATTATTGAATTCGGCTTTCGTATCATCTGAAGAATTATGGAGGTCGAGGAAGGTGCTATCCACCGAGGCCGTATCAGCCTCATTCAATAACTGTAATAATTATTCGCTCAGAGTATTTTGCCTTTTTTGATTGGCTCCAATCCTCCGCTTAATTCTTCATAACAAGCTGGTACTGACGATATTTGGAAAATGTAGACAATAACCAACCGACTCGATGGGTTATTGCACCGACATAAAATAGGTTTGTGCATGAGTGAACGCAAACATATACGGTAGTACCCCGGAAACTTGAACGCTGAAGGGAAACGAAAAACAGTTCGAGTTAGCCGAGATTCTAGTGTATTCGGGGTCCATTGAAAAATTCAATTTTCCAATTTAATAACTGATACTTAATGATTTTCAGCACTTCAGTTTACGGTGCAGTGCAAATGATAAGGCATTTATTTATGATAAAACGTGATTTGTTCGTTTCACCAGTTAAAATTAAATTGCTTTAGTGTTGATCCGTGTTAGTTTTAGTCGCTTTTTAATGGGACGACATTCGAGTGGATTTGAAAGAACCAGAAAACGAGTTATCGGGGAAATGTTCAGTGACTTTTTGTTCAAGGGAAGGAAATGTAGTTCGAGTTAGCGGGGAATTCGAGTTATGCGTGTTCGAGTTAACCGAGTAAAAATGACTGGAAAGTGGGTTGATATCCAACGGAAGTTGGACTTAGTTGGAGTTAGCGAGGGGTTCGAGTTATCGGGGATTTACTGTATTAAAAGACTACACGGCTTTCTGGAGACGAAATAGCCGAATTTCAGACTAAAACTCATCCTCGGAGACTCAGGGGCAGTCAGTCGGGCGGGGAGAAAAGGCGCGACGAAAGTTTTCAAGCACAGGCGGAAAAGCCCCTGGGTACGGACTCTCACCGGACCATTTCCAAACGGTCAAGCGAATGCTGGCTCCTGATTGGGCACAAAAAATGCTTTGTATTATTGTGCCCAATCGGCGAACAGCATCTCCTGAGTTCTTTTCGTGAATTCGTACACGACGGCTATTGACTCGATTACGGCTTGTCGGGCTCATACACCAAAGAAATGCACGCAGTCAGGAAACTTTCAGTTTGATAAAAACTCTCCGGAATCATTTCAAAATACTTCCTACCCGAAAACTAAAGACACTTTTCCAAAAATACAAGCTTGAGATTACAACAGGTATTCAAGCTTGCATCGATCACGCCTTCGTGAATATTAGACATATTAGGGAGTTTAAGATGTCGCGACAGCTGAAAGCCACGGATGAAAAGTTAATTCACATTTTTTAAGTCTCTATCGTGATTATTCCAACTCGCTTGCTTTGTCAAATGCAAGCGAACTCTTCTGGAGCTAAATTTCTATCAACCATATCCAACTTCATAAAGAGAAATATAATTTTGTCATTGCTTGTTTACGTCCTTCACAAAACGTGAAATTAGGCATTTTCACGTGGTAGTCGTGCAGTGACTGCAAAGAAATGTACAAAAAAGCGTTATGCACGTGCAAAGTTGTCTTTTTGCCTTGTCAAGCTATTGTTTTTTTACTTTCTCGTCACCGCCACATCTTAAACTTGATATTATTTACGATATGTTGTGATCCGTCAGAAACAGAATTTTCTCAGTGCAAATTGAATTGTTCCTGCCAAGACCCATTATGGCTCTTGCTCCTGCTGATAGCATCCGAAACGGTTTACGACTCATCGGTAGTTCCTTCGTTTCAGGTTAGGAAAGCTTTGTGAACGAACCGGGCAACTGTGGCGAGATAAGCACTCGTGTACGAATTCACGAAAAGAACTCTGGAGATGCTGTTCGCCGATTCGGCACAATAATACAAAGCATTTTTTTTTTGTGCCCAATCAGCCAGCCAGCCAGCATTCGCTTGACCGTTTGGAAATGGTCCGGTGAGAATCGGTACCCAGGGGCTTTTCCGCCTGTGCTTGAGAACTTTCGTCGCGCCTTTTCTGCCGGCCCGACTGACTGCCCCTGGGTCTCCGAGGATGACTAAAACTGAAAGGAGAAAGGCAAGACTACGTCAAAAAACATTGCTGGATGAATGTCATCTACTTTTTGAAGAGTATCTGCAATAATCGTTCTGACAAACAGGGCAAATGTTTGGTAAGAAAGTCTGCGAGGAGGAAAGGATACCTGTAAGAACTTTTTTTTTGTATGAATAGTAATTAAGAATTATTGATTTAAGCTTTCGCTTGGTCTAAAAATTTATGCAGCTCCCCATCCATTACTCGATCTGCATAATTCTTTCTCATTCAATAATTGTTAACCACTTTTCATTCAAAATATTCCTCCGTTTTTGATTGGCTTAAATTATCACGCTAAATCTACAAAACCAGCAAGCATTGACCAAATTTGGAAGATTTTTTTCGATATTTGTGAAGTTTTGACGCCAATTGTACTGATTTCAAGAGAAAGAGGGACAGGCGGCGCAATTGCTTAGCTGTTTTGGTAGTACAGAGCGGCAGAAAATCGCGGAATATCTTGTATATTGAGCGAAAATGAAATAGCCAAACTATTACGAATGTTTTGAAGAAGAAATTTTTACTCAGAGTCAAGTATGTTTCTAATAGAGAAACAAGTAAATAATATCTCGGATAAAATCGATCGACGTTTCGAGGTCATTTTTAGTGACGCCATATTCAAGACCAAAAAGTATCAATTTGATAAATTAACATATATGAAAATATGCAATTTATCTACCTGACACATTTTTATCTTGAAAGTGAACCCGAAACGTCGATCGATTTTATCCTCATTACTTGTTTCTGTCATACGATACCTTTTCTTGTTAAGCATGTTTTGAGGTTGAAAATATTTCGAATGAATAATGAAACAATTATTGGATTCGGATTTGGTATAGTGCGTTTTCACTCACGTGGCCAGCATCTATGCTAATCTATTGGAACAAAAGAAAGTCTTTGCATAAGAAAAAAGTTCAATTCCCACAGGATTGTCTTGGAACAACAACAAGTCATGTGACGTCATGTGAAAACGCTCCATTTAAATGAAGAATAGAGGGTTTTCACAAGACGTCACGGCGGCCATATTGGTGCTCCAAAACAATGAAACGGCTGGTCAAATTAGTGAAAACACTTTATAGGCCACTTTACAGCGGTTATGGAAGGAAGCCAGGCCGACGGTGACCTTGTTTTGAGACAAACCTTCCTGCTTTATTATGAAAATCAAAATATTCATATGCTAAGCAGTATTTTTCAAGGACAATTTCCATAACAAAGCAAAGGAGGTTTGTATCAAAACATGGTCACCGTCAGCCTCGCATTCACTCGAAGGCTAGGGTACAACTGTAAAAATTAATGGTCTGTTATGCAGATCGAGGAGGGTGTTACCTGATAACATCTTCCTTAATCTGCAAAATTCTTTATCATACTCAGCCTCATCCAGTAATTTCTAATAATATTCACGAATTTTGTAGGTAGTCGAAAGATGTTGGTTTAAGCTGGCTAAGCGAGAGCGAAGAGGGTGCTGTTGATCACGCTGTATTTATAGACAACATCTGACAATCTAAACCCGTAAAAACATAGAAGAGCAATAAATAATTGTAATATAATTATGTAATTTTCAAATAACGGCCTATGAGCTGAAATAAAATATAAATGCAACGTGGGGCCAATATGGATAGGGTATAAATATTCGGTATCTCCGTGGTCCTAATAAAATTGCAGAGAATCCAATCAGCAATTTTTAAAGCACTACTCACTTTGCACTCAGCATCAAGGCAATAAGTCCTGAGGCCATGGCTGCCGCAGCAGAACTAGCACCAAATGAATTTGTACAACCCATGTTAGCATCAGCAGTGACCTGAGTGTAATAAATAAATTGTGATAAGTAATACATTTTGATACGTTTTATGATAATGCAGTAAAACAAGTAAAAACCCACGTGTAAGGACCTGCAGTATTTTGAGTCTGGCAAAAAACGTTCTTGTATTTTGGGCTAGTCATTGGCAATTTAGCCAAAGTATGTTCTTAATTAGGTTCTTCAGTTCTATGAAGGAGATGTAACTGTAGAAAAATAATACCAGAAAAATAATATACTTGAGTTTGGTCCTTATTCACAACTGTACATTGCAAATGGAAACCTCTTTTGTGCAAGGTCCAGGACGGAACGAAGGAATCATGGATGAGAGAACAACAGACGTGCCCTCTTTACAAGATATATTAACATGTGAAGAGTACGCTCAGACATCAGCATACAAAGGCGGCAGCTGCCCTCAGTCCATTTATGAGCTTACTGTGCCCACCTAAGCCATGATGTGACTGATGTGTAAAGGTTGACCACATCACCGGGGTCTACGTCCCCTACTCTTTTGGCACAGTTGTGTAGGTTCTTTTACGTCCCACAAGAACCAGATAAGTGTAAGTACTGTGAGACGAGGACCTACAGTTTTCCGTCCTTATCCAAGATGCAGATGCAGATGTCATTACAAAGGTAGCACTTTCTCCTCAGTTATTTAAAGACCCTGAGTGTTGTTCTGGCCGGGGTTCAAACCCGCGACCTCCCGCTCTGCAGACCGGTGCTCTCCCAACTGAGCTAACCAGGAGGCGGTTGAAGACAATTTATAAAATCTGTACTTTTATAAACCTGCTTTTGTTGTAGGAATTACAATTACACCNAGATGTAACTGTAGAAAAATAATACCAGAAAAATAATATACTTGAGTTTGGTCCTTATTCACAACTGTACATTGCAAATGGAAACCTCTTTTGTGCAAGGTCCAGGACGGAACGAAGGAATCATGGATGAGGACAGACGTGCCCTCTTTACAAGATATATTAACATGTGAAGAGTACGCTCAGACATCAGCATACAAAGGCGGCAGCTGCCCTCAGTCCATTTATGAGCTTACTGTGCCCACCCAACCCATGATGTGACTGATGTGTAAAGGTTGACCACATCACCGGGGTCTACTTCCCCTACTCTTTTGGCACAGTTGTGTAGGTTCTTTTACGTCCCACAAGAACCAGATAAGTGTAAGTGCTGTGAGACGGGACCTACGGTTTTCCGTCCTTATCCAAGATGCAGATGCAGATGTCATTACAAAGGCAGCACTTTCTCCTCAGTTATTTAAAGACCCTGAGTGTTGTTCTGGCCAGGGTTCAAACCCGCGACCTCCCGCTCTGCAGACCGGTGCTCTCCCAACTGAGCTGACCAGGCGGCGGTTGAAGACAATTTATAAAATCTGTACTTTATATAAACCTGCTTTTGTTGTAGGAATTACAATTACACCTTTTATTCTAATTGCAGTTTGGTACAGTAATTTCTTGTAATACCAATTTACAATCTCAAAGTCAAACTCCTTGAATAAAATGTTTATCATAACTTTAGTGTAACCAACATATAAGGACCTGCTTGATTTTTCTTGGCTAAACATGTTCTTATATATATTTTGGGGTATTAAAATGGCATATTTCTGCCAGCAGGTTCTTAAACGACTAGATTCTTACACACGGGTTTTACTGTACTACATGTCTCGGACATACTACTTTGCTGCCACGGTCAAAGACGTCTTTGCTGTAAGTTACTGCCATGATTCCTGCACAGCGCTATCCATAACTAGGAATTGACCCATCCTTGTTAATCCCAGTGATGGCAATAGTATATATGCTGTTGACATAGCCATTGAAAGCACAGCTATCTTTGACAAGGATTCCTCCATTGCCTGCAGCAAACACATATATAGAACCACGACCGCTGCGACCCTAGCAGATTAAGAGCAGAGTGGTTTATTTACTTTACGCCTGAAATGACACAATTTAAAACAAGTGCATCGTTTGAATCCTGTCTCGTGCTTATTAAGACTTCACTTCGATGGAACATCCACAGGCACGCCCACTTTTGATCAAAAGATCTGTTGATCAAAGATCTGTTATTACAAACGCCATGGGAGTTAGCCTTTATCTTACACGACGTCAAAGAACAGCCTGGTATCTGAAGTGACCTGTTTAACGCTGCCGTTATTGAGCTCATTCCAAAACGCAAAGGCGTAACGTGTCTGATCATCCGTGGACGGACACCGAGCTCCTCATACTCTTTGCCAAGATAAATAGAAAAAGGAAGAAAGCATAAAAGACGACAGCCCCCAAGGATTTAGAGAAATTCAAATCGAGCTTCTGTCCAAACTGACAATTATTACTTCCTCCAAAGAGAACTAGACTGTCTACACAAATGGAGCCAGGACTGGTCAATGCAATTTAGTGGGGGGAAATGTTAAGTGTTACATATCTCCAGAAAGAATACTTCATGCGGAAGTGAGAGGACCTACACTGTTGATGGACAACAGCTTGAATGTGCACCATCTATCACTGACTTCGGCATTACTGTGTCCAATGACATGTCCTGGTCTAGACATAAATAACCGTTACTAACTTATAACCGTTGTGAAAGCGAATACGATTATAGGACGTCTTAACCGAGTCTGCAGGGACACGCGTGATTCAAATATGAGAAAAATGCTTTATTGTGCCCTAATTCGACCCAGCCTTGAATACAGCAGCAGCCTGTGGTCCCCTTACAGGGAGAATGTCCACCGAAGAGCAACAAAATGTATCCTGAAATGTCATAAGAATCGACCCGACAGGGTACCAGGAACGCGCGCGGAGTACAAGATTAAGTAATGGCATACGCTTCGTACACTTTACTCTACGTATACCACAAATCAGGATGAAACTTTACAAATTGTTGTTTATAAACAAACAATTTGGCCTATAGGGTAACGTCATCGCACAAAAATTCAGCAGCGTCAAAAATCTAGCCGGAAAACACAGATACATATTTCAGACAATCAGGGACAAAAGTAGTTGACACACTTGTTTAAAACGGGTGCTTTTAACAAACATTTAATTCATTTATTATTCCATTCTTTTTAAACGCCGTAAATCCCCTCAACCCCCGAATAAATGTTGTCTGAATTAAAAAAAAAGACTTGAGTGTCCAAAATTCAACATTGATTTTGGGGGGAAGGGGTTGGGGTAGACAGGGAAAGGGGATAAGTATATCCACTATGTAAAAAGGGGCCATTTTACGGAAGTGTGTCAACACTTTTGTTCCTCATTGTAGCTATCCGATATAGTATGAACATTAATCCAATATGTGACTCTTCACTTAAGAAATCGGCGCGGCCCAGCTTCGCTCCGTCACAGAAATCGCGGCGCCACAACCTTTCTTGTGTTTGAACAGAATCCCTATCCGGTATGATTTTCGTGGCGGCGTAAAAACTATCCAGTATAGTGTAAACATAGCCTTAGCTTATCTTTGAGCATACAAAATCCAAAAATCTTGCGCTTGCTATATTTTGTGTTCTGTGTCTGTTTGAAGCAATTTGGGCTGGTTTTGCGACATTGTCTTAACTTTCTTAGTCGTCACATTTACTTTGTTCATCATTACCGGATAAACATTTTTAACAAGCGCCCACTCGTCGCATATAAGATCATCCGGATTCCGGAAGCGAGGAAATATCTGCTTGTGGAATGTGGAATCCAGGTTTGTTTTGGCATCCAGCGTAAAACCACATTTGCGGGTGCAGTTGTGTGTATGTTAGTGGGACTGAAGGTATTAGGATTAGCGCCAGGTGTCGAGTTACTGGACATTTAGTAACCACTCTTGACCGCAGTGTCTAATCCAGACTTTCACTTTAGGAGAACAATCTCTCCCAGTCAACAATTTTCTGGGGACATTCCAGATTTTTTAGGGGACACATTTGCCTCGTCCTCAGGTGCCGCGTTTCTCACACAGAGGCGTGCGAACACACAGGGGGCTCGCGTGTGACTGATGATGAAGCGCAAGGAACTATGGGAAAGAGAATAGTGAGAGCCGAAGCGACGTCTCGCCCATTTTCTCCTTCCCACCTTCCTTTGTGCGCAAATTTTCATCGGGGGAGAGACGTCTGGGTACGAGGCAGGGGACACATTATTTTTCTCTGAAGAAAAAAACAACTGAGTCAATACTCCGATTCCAGAAAAAACAACCGGAAGTTACACGGAAGTGAGGCTTCTCCCTCGCGGCAAATTTAAAATAACTAACATGGAGAAAAAAAAGGGGGAGACCGCGAGAGATGCAGCAAACCACTTCAAGAACTTTCCCACCGTTGATTCAGTATTTGGTGATGATTTTACCGTCCTTCCCACGTTCGTTCCGACTGATACATTAGAACGCCTAAAGAACTGTAGAAAGTACGCCAGAAAATCTGCTGATGCTGTTGCCGACTTTGGAAGTTCTAAGGGGCACAGAATGCTCTCATTTTTGTTCACGACCTCCAAGTGTATGCGAGTCCAAATTCCGAGGATGATGTTATATACCTTAAGGCGCTTTGCTGGCCCTCCTATAGTAAATCTGATAAATATATCATATATGAGTTAGCTTACCCCAGGCTCAGAGATGGCCTGTATAGTTTTAATGTACCACAAACAACCAGATTTGTATCAGAAATATACGCGACTTCTCCAATTATTGTGTCAAGTAACTTTACACTATCCGCATCAGGGATCATTTTTGGAAGTGGAACAGCAGGACTTAATTTTTGTATATTTTGTTTCAATCTTTCAATTGATTCTAGGTTTAACTTACGCGATGTTGATGGTCGAACAGCGTGGGATAGATACCTCGAAGCCTTCTTCCTCGGATGTCTGAGGAATGGTGGGGTTTAAAAAGTTTCTTTGTCATGATTGGTTTATGTTGTACAGTCCTCTTTCCTGATATTCCCAATTTTCTAGGTTGGAGGTACAGCTACAGTTATCAGTAGGCTGAACTTTCTTGTTTCTGGAATATTTCATTCAGTTTCCAGATTACCACCATCACGCGGCAGCAACCACCACTTTTTCCGGCGGGGCATGTTTTGTAACACTCGACAGCTAGAATTGTGGGTTTACCTTTCCTCTGAACTACCATGTTGAGTTTGTATTTCACAGATATCCTATAGGAGGCCCTGCACAGCGCTCCAAGGTGACTAAATAACATCATCCTCAGAATTTGGACTCGCACACACTTGGAGGTCGTGAACAAATGAGAGCATTCTGAGCCCCTTAGAACTTGCAAAGTCGGCAACGGCGTCGGCAGATTTCCTGGTGTTCTTTCAAGAGTTCTTTAGGAGTTCTTATGTAACAGTCGGAACAAGCGTGGGAAGGACGTTAAAATCCTTACCAAATGCTGAATCAATAGTCGGCAAAGTTCTTAAGGTGGTTTGCTGCATCTCTCGTTGTTTCCCCATTTTTCCTAAGTGGCTGTCTTGCTAACTTTGCTTTATATAGTCAATATCCTCTCTGGGCCAAGATCATATATTTTTAGATTTTCATTGCTTGCAGGCTCTTGACCCTGAGAAAGCAAATTTTGCATGAAAACGTGTGTCCTTAGCACTATGTAAACTTGAACTTAAAAATAAACAGCATAAACGGTTGATCCATCGTGCGAAGCTGGATGATGTACACCTACCTTTCCAACAGTTCCTTCTTATCACCATTTTGATTTATACGGCGGCATTTTAACCAAAACTTTAGTTGATCAACGGTCAATTTTTCTCTCTTTTCTTCAATAAGCTAGCGCCAGGAATGTCCTCTGGAAGATAGACTTGATCTTCCGCCATATTAGTTGTTTAAATATGCCTGGAGGGCTATTAAGACTCACTTCCATGCAACGTCCGTTTTTTTTTTTCTGAAATCGGAGTATTCAGCTTTAGCCTTCTGTTCGACAAAGAGTTCATCAATATCATTTGATTTTTCTTCGTGATTGGTGTCAGTTCTGCTTCAACGTTGCTTTCTCAACTAGAGAATGAATAAATAGTCTTCTCTGCTTTGACATGCCAATAATCAAACGGATCGAAAAAGTAAGCACCAAACAAGACAGAGAACGTTTCATCAATCAAGCGTGGAAAGTCGAAAAGTAACTGAAAACACGTTGCCTTTCATTCAAGGGGTTTGCAATTGACCACTACAGAAAATACTATAATATACCATAATACTCTTTGATTGTCCCTACAAAATTTGGCATAAACAGTATCCCTCGGGAGTTAAAGTGGCCCCAAAAAGAAACTGAAGACAATGAAGTGTGACGTCACGTTACCATGGTATCAAAATGTCTGGATCACAACAATACGGAACTTAAGCAACGACGACGGCGACGGTAACGATAACGCAAAAAATCCGGAGGTTTATGTTAGCAAAACGACGACTTTGCACGTGCATCACACTTTTTAGCCGTCGTTGCATGACTGCCACGTGAAACTTCCTAGTTTCACGCGCCCACTTCATGGAGTTGGTAAATACAACACAAAAATTTTCGTTTTCTTTTTGTCTAAACTTAGATACGGTCCTTTCGGATTTAACCCAAAAAATTTCGCCAATTTTTGACAAATTAAATGAAATTGAATAAGATCGATGAGGTTTGAAATGGTGCGAAATCTCTTTTCAAGTGAATTTTCGGTTTGTTGTCATCCAAAATCTTGCTACCATGGCAACGTGATGTAACGACTTCTCCTCTCTACTAGTATGTGCATTTTATAAATTGTCTCCCTCTTTCAAAGTTATTCTCTTTGTTCCCA